AACATTTCTTCCCAGCTACATGAGAGTGAGCCATCAGCCTCATTACTACATTTTCAGAAAGTCTCTCCCCAGTGGGACGATTGGGGTCCTTGCCAAGATATGGGAAGACATTGCAAATGTACTTGGATTTTAGGTCGCAAGCCACCCAAAACTTGATCCCAAACTTGTCAGGTTTACTTGCAATATACTGCAGGAAACAGCACCGAGTCTTTGATGGGAAAAGCTGTTCATCAACGGTGATATGTAGACCAGGGTTGTAGCACGTGATGCAGTTGGTGACAAATGATCCCCACACACTGGAAATTGCAGCGAACTTATCAGTCTTTGCTCGATCACTGCGGGTGGACTTGTCATCAAAGCGTAGGTGTTGCATGATGTCTTGGAAGCGGTTTCGTGCCATAGTTCCAATTATCTGTGGGTTTCCCAGGTTTGCTGACCAGCAGTCATTTAGAGATGGAACCCTGGTAACCCCCCGCAAGATGACAATTGCAATAAATGCCATTAGTTCAGGGAGGTCCATGAACCAATGAACATGCTCCGTTTGCTGTGCATGTTGAATAGTCCATTCTTGAATGCTATGAAGCATGTCAAAAGTGATGAAACACAGGAAGCTCCGAAGGCGACTCGTGATATTTCTCCTGGCCTTAGCCGTTGGCTCTCCATCTGCAGCGTACGCTTCTATTGGGGTGAAAGGGAGACAGGTCCCCACCTGTTCTTCACGCCACACTGTGCCATCTTTCGCTGTCTCAGTCCCCAAACAAGCTCTCTTTTTAGGTGCAGAAGCAGTCTCCTCATCTGCAGTGTGAACAAATTCAAATTGTGAGCAATGGGAAGGTCAAACAAAATCACAAATGCATGCATAGATACTAATTATAATTCCAGTATCTCCTCCTCTGTATCAGAATAATGTCTGAAATATCTTACTTACTAACTACATCCACTTACTTGTTTGAAATGAAATAGGAAATAACATGAAATGAAACTAACCGGAAGACTGATCAGACAGCTCTGAGTCCGAATCCGGCTGAACTTCTAGGTCTTCTCCATCCGAGTCACAAGGGTTGACTTCACTCAGGATCATTTCCAAGGCCTGCTGCATTTTCTTTCCTTGGAGAGGAGGTTCGTACACCACAGAATTCTTCAGGGCAATGAAGGATTAGGCTAAATGCAGTGAGATTGTATCCACCTCAACACAAAAGAAAGTCTCCCCCCCCACACACACGCACACACAAAGAGGCAGTTGGCAGTTAGACATCAGCAATCATTCACCCACTCCCCTCCAGAATTCTCAGGTGACGACCTAATTTACATATGAATTGATGCTAAAGACTAGTGATGGTCCGCTTGAAGCTGACGCTCCGGTGCGTGTGTCAAAAAAATGAACACACTGCTTCAGACTGTGTCGAAGCTTGATTCGTTTGGCCAGAGTCACGTGATCAGTGACGTCCGAAGCTTCATTTAGAGCCTAACTGCTTCGGTGTCTGATTCAATGGTTTATAAGGAAATGAATCATTCGCGGGATTTGTGGAGCGTTTTGATGGTGACAGATAGCGAACCACTGATCATTCCACTGAGAGATTTGGAGCCAGCGAGGAATAGAGGAGGTTCTGTTGTGTGGGAGAATTTTGAGTTGATTTTTGTCGATCCGGTGGGTTTTCCAGCTTCGTGTTCTGGCTGTTTGCTTTTGTTTTGTGCGTGTTTATTTGATCTGAAAACGGGAAAAAGGTAAAATGTCAAAAATCTGCTTCCATAATATAAATATCATTAAATAACTTTAGAAAAACTCCCACTTGACTCTTTACTTGTAATGTTGTAAAAATATATATTTTATTGTTTAATTAATCTGAAAATGTTAGTCTGCCAAATGTGCAGCAATTGAATGTATTTATTCTCTTTGGCTGATAGTTGGTGGGGCCCAGGTAGACTGTATAACTGCATCTCTACCAGTTTCTCTGCGCTCCAGCCTCCTCTGGGCCATGTGAAGGGATTTTCCTTAAGGCAGGAGAAATTATCTCCACGAAAAGGAACAGGTTCGGCCATCGCACAGTGGAACAAATTCTCTTCTTAAATAAAAATGAAAAAGGGTTACTTTAAATGCATCATGTTTTTCATTTGCAAGTTCATAAGCATTTTCCCTTTCCATTTCACAATCAGTTCTACCCCCAGGTCAAAAATATGTCTGAGAAAATGTCCCTAATATAATATTATTTATAAATACACCCGTCTAGCGATTAACTGCATAAGTGCATGGAGGCGGGACCTCACAGCAGAAGCATACTCCATAATGTGTTGTACATTATTATATGTATATTATATGTAATGTGGTATTTTTCAATTATTGTATTTACCAACATCAAGAAGTCACAAGCAAAGAAAGACCACACCATGGTGCATGTTTAAACAAGGAAAGCTTACTGGTCAAAACTATTTATTAAACAAATAAACCACATTTTTAACAACCAAAGAATACACGTTCAAAGCAACACAACAGCGGCCCAATATCAGACAGAACTCCGCTCTGTAGTGGGCAATCTTAATGGAGCAGTTGGTTTTATTTTGTGGATTCAAGCTGCTTTTCATATTTTTGGCCACCAGATGTCACCAGAGAGGACTGTGTTGAAAAGCTTCGAGTAATGAACCGTTTTTCAATACAAGCTTCAGAAAGCTTCATTTGGCCATCACTACTAAAGACGAGCCAAGTTCGCTTCCACTTGGCTGACAGAGGGTTAGAAAGTCTGGGGCTCTACTTAGAGCCCCCGAGAGCAGCCAGTTGACCTTTCTACCTATAAAACCCGAGAGCAGCCAAATGGCTGGTACGCTTTTAGCTAGGCTTTAGCTTCAGCCAAGTGGAAGCTAAATTGTCTAGTCATTCATATGTAAATTGGGTCGTTATCTGGGAATTCTGGAGGGAGGGGAGTGGGGGTGTGTGATTGAGGGGGGGGAGGGAGCTGCTAAAAGCTGTTTCCTTTTGTGTTCGTCTGATGCATTCTCAATCATCCAGGGAAATAAATCTCCAAAAGTCACCAACTTGGAGTGTTTCAGTTTGCCATCTTAGGGAGAAATCAACACACATGGGTGTAGGTCCTTTGTTGCTGAGATTTATTGATAAAAACAGTACAAAAAACCAACCATTTGTACACATATTTACAAATAATAATAAAAAGTGAGTGAGTACATTTCAACATTTTCAGCAATCACTCACAATCCTGGCACTGCCATGGTATCTGTAGTCTGCATTTACCACATGTGTATCTGTAGCAGTGAACACATCGCACAGTGGCATGATTGTTCTTGCATTTGTGTTTGACCTGACACATGGCTCTTTTTTGCCACTGTTCCAGCTATAACACCACCAAAAGGAAGCCAAACACTGTCACCCTTTACAACAAAACAAAGTGTGGCGTGGATGTGATGGACCAGATGGTTCGGGAGTACACTGTCCGCAGAGGAACACGGCGCTGGCCAGTCGCCGTGTTTTATAACATGATTGACATGGCAGCACTGAATGCACATGTGCTGTATCAAGCATGCACCGGGACGAAGGAAAGACGGGTGGACTTCCTGGTGGCAGCTTGCAAGAGAGTCTGGCTCACTCTCATGTAGCTGAGAAGAAGGCAAGAAAAGAACAGTTGCTTCGGACACAACCCTCCACACCGAGCCCTGGAAAAGAGTCATGTGTCAGGTCAAACACAAATGCAAGAACAATCATGCCACTGTGCGATGTGTTCACTGCTACAGATACACATGTGGTAAATGCAGACTACAGATACCATGGCAGTGCCAGGATTGTGAGTGATTGCTGAAAATGTTGAAATGTACTCACTCACTTTTTATTATTATTTGTAAATATGTGTACAAATGGTTGGTTTTTTGTACTGTTTTTATCAATAAATCTCAGCAACAAAGGACATACACCCATGTGTGTTGATTTCTCCCTAAGATGGCAAACTGAAACACTCCAAGTTGGTGACTTTTGGAGATTTATTTCCCTGGATGATTGAGAATGCATCAAGACGAACACAAAAGGAAGTTCACAGCTTTTAGCAGCTCCCCCACCCCCTCATTCACACACCCCCACTCCCCTCCAGAATTCCCAGGTAACAACCTAATTTACATATGAATGACTAGCCAATTTAGCTTCCACTTGGCTGAAGCTAAAGCCTAGCTAATACGTTCATAGTTGAAGTGCTGATGACGTGAAGTCCCGCAGCGTCCAGCAGGGGGCGTCAGAGCGCTGCTTCGCTGCCTGTATGACAGCGTGAGGGAGATTCATGGATGCAAACACACACAGAGCGCGCACTGACACGGGAGGACATGTTTTACTGCTGCTGGGACACGTTTTTAGTGGGTTTTTAGGATCACGTGATTCCACCGTAATTTAAACGTCCAACGTGTGACGTCATGAAGGATTTTAATCTGGAAGTTTCTGATGAGACTCTTTAAAAAGTTTATGAATGGATTCAGTGACTGATGAGTGTTTGTGTTGCATTAAATGTATGTTCGTGTTAAAATGATATAATAAAACTAAGTCAAAGTGTTTATTTGTCTCTTTTGATCTGATTTTGTGGTGATTTGAAGTATTCATCTTCTTCATTTTCCATTTTTATTTATTTATTGCATCCTGTTGCTGCTTTCTGAACACGCGGTTGTGATGAACGTGTTTTCTGTCCTCTTGTGATCATTTGGAAACTTTTTAATTTTCTTGTGTGACGTTTTTCTGAGCTTGTTTTGTGTTTTTATCGTTGTTCGAGTCTCTTTGGGTCGCTTTGTTCCTGTTTCATCATCGGGCCTGTTTTGTGTCAATTTGTTATTTAGCATGTTTGTGAGCTTGCTGTTTTGTTAGAATTCATTTAATGTTTTTTTCATCTTTTTGATCGTTTTCATTATTGTTTGTTCTTGTTGTTCTTGTTTGTGTTTATATAAAGTATTTTTGCACCTGTTTTCCTCGTATTGACGTGTCTCTCTGATCTCGTGGATCTGTTTTGAGGCCCTTTTTTGATCACCCGGGCTCTCTGGACTCGTTTCGGGCTTGTTTGTTAGTTTGGTGGCATTTTTAAAGTTATTGAATAAATGTCCTTTTGTTCTGAGTCTTTGTCTCAGTGGGTCACTGGACTTGTTTTGCAGGTCATCTTGTCACTTGTTGTGTGCATGTTTGTAATGTGAGTGTTTTTGTGGATGTTTATTACAGCTTGCAGTCGGGTTGGGTTTCTTTTCGGGTGTTTTCGGTCGTTTGCGTGTCTGTGGGGTTACTTTGCACCACCTACGCGGTCTTTTGTGTCGTCACGTTGCGTGTCTGTGGGCTGAGGCCGAGCTCTTATACAGCCGGACCTCAGTGCGGATGCAGAAGATCCTCCGGGCTCATTAGAACCTGGTAATACTGACTCGTGTCACGTGGTCAGGTTCAGGGAAACATCCCGTCAGCCAGACGTCCCTGCGCGCTCCTGACTCTCCTGGCAGGAGCGCGCCCGGTCAGGCTCGTGCCCGTCCCCGTGAGGTGGACTGTGAGCAGCGGCAGCGGCAGAGAGGGGCAGCCCGCCGGAGGCACAGAGACCACCGCGTGACTCTCGGTGTCTTCCAGCGGCTTTCGCGGACCTAACGGCTGCCTCTGTGTGGACTTTTCTCGGGGACAGAGGTAGGGGGCTCCCGGTCTCACCTGGACGCTGGTTTGGAGGAAGTTTGCCCCTTCAGCTACGCCGAGAAGCGGAACAATGAGGGAGAGCCAGCCGGGCAGCCGGACCCGAGCTAACGGCTAACAGGGAGCAGCTGGGCGGTGAAAGCGACCAAACTGTCCCGTAACGGATCCTCCCGACACTTTTTCCGCTTCCTCTCCGCGCGTGGACACTTGGACTCGCCGCTCCGGGACTGTCTCACACTTGTGGAGGGACACTTGAAGCCACAGCAAGTTTTTTTCTCTGCTTTCGGACATGGAGACGGACTCGCTTCCAGGCGACGTGGATTCTCTGCGCGGCGGGCTGAGCCTCCTGGATCCGCTGGTGGACCGGATCCTGGGGGACGCTGTGTCACAGCAGCAGGGCTGGCTCCGTGTCTACGGTAAGAAGAACACACTGGGGGGGCAGGACCGAGACCCGGCGGCCGGGCGGGTCTCGGGGCCGGGGTCAGCAGGTAGAGAGGGCACCGGCCACCTTTCGGATAGCCAGGTATCCGCCTAGAGCCCAGGCCGAGGTCATGGAGGCCACCGGGGGGACCGGGAGCTGCAGCTCCGTGAGGTTTCGACTCAGCCTCCTTGAGAAGGGTTCCTGGGGCCAGACTCTTAAACTGCTCTGGTTCCCTTACCCTCTTAATAATCCCTTAAAACTTTCTTGTTCTCTGAAGGTTCAGGGTTTAAAGCTTAGACCTCCTGAGACAGACTGTCCTTACAGGAAGCACTGCAGCGTTTAATCGCAGCTGAAGCAGAAAAGGTCTCACTGAGTTTAGTTTGTCAAAATAAAGCAACAACACTGCTCTTAATCTGCACTCAAACCAGCTGACCTCAGTAATCTGAATCGTCGGGGAACCTCTCAGATTAGATTAGGGTCACACAGTCCTGCCTGTATTCAGGAAGCGGCTCAAAACCACAGAAACGTCCCAAAACATTCAAAGTAACCATACAAATGCCACAAAACAAGAGTGTTCACAACGCGATGCAAAAACACCACAAAAGCCCACAAAAAACAAAACAAGTCCAAGTGACCAAAAAGAGACGCAAAATGAACCAATAAGGATGTGAGATAACTTCAGAAACGCTTAAATCTCATAATAATCAAAACATGACCAAAGTCTAAAGTGTCCAGATCTTTAGAATGAGACGTAAAGTGATGAGAAAGGAAGTGCAAACAGTGGCGTTAGTCCTGAGCGCTGAGTTTATCCGGCGTGTTGAGTTTTATTCACAGGTGGAGTCGCTGATGTTACTGTTTTAAAGCGAACAAACCTCAGACACCCACAATAAAGCCACATGAATACAGCCACAAGTTTCCAGCTTCCAGTGTGTAGCGAACGAGAAGCTGACAGAAAGGTCAGAGGTCGCTGAAACTGTAAGGAGACGTCTTATTCGCAGTCACATGGGGCCGTGTGGGGCTGTGACTCACAGCGGCGTCCTGTGAGGCAGAAAACGGTAACATGACTCAGTTTTTCTGCGCGGACTTCACACGAGAGGCCGGTGCTGCAGCTGCTGTCTCATGTTTCCCTGCAGGACTGCTGCTGCTTCACTTCCTAAAATAAAAGCTTCAGAGCTCTGTGAGACCGAACAGTTTTCCAGGACAGGCGGTCACATGGCGGCGGCGGCGTTGGCGAGGACTGAGAATGCACTGAGTAATCACTGATGGCTGCAGTGAATTACAGAAACTCTTCTGTGTTTATTTAAATTCACCTGAGCGACACAGCCTGCAGGTGATGTTGATACTTTCAAAGGATCCTGAAAACATGGGAGAAATGGGCGTCTGAGTCGCTGCTCTGAGTTTGGACCCGACCCTGATAAGGATGAGCAGAAGAGACTGGATCATGTTGCTTAATGTGACATCAGAGGGCGAATTTGAGTGTTTTTCTCCTTTCAAATCTCCTTTTAGATTCAGAATGGAAAGTCAGAGTCATCCAAAACACTCAAAATAACCAAAAGACATTCAGAGCAGCAAAGTGTTCAGAATGAGACGTAAAGTAACTGGAAAGAGGCTCCAAATGACCACGAACACGTGGAAAGTCATTTCTTAAACACTCAAAATGAACAAAAAAAGAGACACAATGATAAAAGAAACACAAACAACCACAAAGAGGCTCAAACTGGCCACCAAACAATGAAACACGACTCTAAATCACACAACATGACGCTAAAAATGGAACAAAATGATCACAAAGGGATGTAAGCAAAGAAAGCCACAAAAAACAAAGTCAAGAACTACCAGACAGATGCACAAATTAATAATAATAAGGTGCAAAACTTAAAAACCAAAGTGTTGAAAGACAAAACCAGCACAGAGTGAAAACACTGAAGAATAGTCTGACTGCCTTTAATCACCTTAATGATCCCAGTTATAAAGTTTAAAACTTCTAAATTCATTCAGTCTCAAACTGAACTCAGAGTTTCTCGATGTTAATGTAAGAATAAAGTCGTGTTTGTCACTTTAGACCTAAAGGCTCCGGCGGCCCATGAACTCATCCGAAACTGGGAATAAAGTGGATGAGTGAGGCTGAAGTGGTGGTGACGTCCTGTGAACCAACAGGGTGGAGCATTGACGGCTGCTATGACCCATCACATATGTTCATGAGCCTGAGCGTGATTAACTCGGTTTATTTTGAACGTAGATGTGCACGCTCACACAGGCCTGAATGCAGCGCTGCTATCTGTAGCTGCGAGGCTGCATCAGGATGTTTGCTCTTCCTCCTCCACCTCCTCCACCCTCCCGCTGTTGGCAGGGTGTGATGTCAGCAGCCAGTTTGTGCCGGTGATCTCACCGGGCAGGACTCCGGCTCTGGCATCGGGTCCTCGCTGCCCTCCGCGGCTCGCATTCCTCAAATAGATTCAACAATGGCTGCCGCCGTGCTGCCTTCAGGACCACCTCACTGCAGAAAAATGCAGCGGCGGGTCGTTTGTGTTTTTCTGCTGCATTCACGTTACATCAGAGGGTGGGGTCTCCTCCACCCTGCCGGTGTATTTACAGAGCAGGCCGGGGCCTCGTGTCAGACTGTGTTGAGTTTGTGCTGCTGAGACGCTGTAGCAGCTTCCCGCTCAGACGGGAGGAGGTTAGCGCTGGAATTTCTAATCAAAGAATACCAAAACCTGCACTTCCTCTTAACGTCCACTGGAGGCTCCAGCTGTGAGTCTGTCCCACAGATGCCTGTGTTAAAATGTGCACCTTTACAGCAGAAACAAACGTCTTTTTAAAGCCTGTTTAAAGTTAGCATGATTAGGGGGTGTGGCCTCTTTGACCGACAGGTGGATGGCGACTCAGGCGGCTGTAGCTGCTAGCTCCTAGCTGTCACCCCTGTACCATGTTGGTGCTGTTGGAGCATTTTAATGACATCATGTGACCTATAAGGTTCCTTCCTTTCTGAGCTAACCAGGTGTGAGGTGATACCTCAGTGATCCACCCTCTGGCCTGTGTACAGTCTCCTCTGGGCCCAAGAGTCCAGCCTGCCCGATCCTGAAAGCAGAGAGTGTGTCTGTGTTTGTGAGTCCGTGTGTGTTACGTTGTGTTGCAATAACTTTATTTGTGGTGGGCGTTCTGCCCCGATGGACGTACGACACTACACTACGAGAGAGCGATCGATGTGAGACGTTGATCAAACTGCAGGTGAAGCTTCCTCCTGCCGCTGTTTGGATCCAGCGTCTCTCTGAAAGCATCGACAGAGTGCATTATCCAGAGAAAGGCTGCTGTACGTAAGCCTATTAAAGCTGACCGCAGACAGACGCTTAAACACATCGCAGAGCCTCCTCCTCCTCCAGCCCACCGGCTGAGAGTGTCAGGAGTTAACACGAGAACGTGTTGTGTCATTTCATCCCGTCACGGATTAATCGTCAGGCCGCTCCGAGGATTTATCCGGAGAAGAAACGATGATGTTTTTAGGTGTCTGGACAGCAGACTCGCACTCCGAAGGTTTCCCTCCTCCTGCTGTCATGTTGAAGCCCCACTGAGGTTCTCAGCCTCCATATTGGACGGGGATTCTGGGAGTTTGCTGCCGGTGAGCCCATTCACACCTGAGCTTCCTGCGGGACTGACGGGACGTCACGTTCCTCTGAGGCTGCACGTGAGAAACGAGCAGAAACGGATGTTTTCTTTGGCCGAGTCTGTTCTGTAAAAAGCGTAAAGCTGTCGTGAGTGGGTGCTTTCCCAACTTTTGGGATAAATATAGAAGATCTTATCTTGGAAAACAGGATGTTTAGGTCCAGAAAAAAGGTTTACTGATGGGACAGATGTGCAGGAAAGACGAGCCGGCACATCAGCTGTGGTTGTTTTACTGAAATGCAATCAAAGTTTGAGAAAAATAAGGTGATGGTTGTTTCCAGCTTTTATCAGATTCCTTCAGATGTGAAGTGGAATAAAATCCATCTGCCTGAACATGGATACAGAGCCACACGAGCTGATTATTTAACAATATGATGGTTTCTGTCAGCGTTTCAAACTCGCATTGAAATACTTCAATTTTCTGATTCCTCCTGAGCTGGAGCTGTCTGCACGAATCAAAGAAACTTTTAGAAGCAGGAAGAAGCTGGAGAGAAAGCGGCGAAGCAGTCTGTGAGCAGTCTCCAGGGTTGTGCACAGACTCGGTCGGTTGCACCACGTGAGAAATCTGGCTGGAAATAAGCGGTTAGTTCAGGGAACAGCTCGATCTTCTGTATGAGTGTGTGTCGTTTGTGACGGCTGAGAAAATCCTGGATCTTTTGTGTGTGTGCGTAAACAGACGGGACGAGATTTAGAGCCGGATCCCAAACGCAGGATCCAACCGCGGGGCTCGCCTCAGCGCTTGGCGTGGGCGTGTCCGTGCCTGACCTTTTGATGATGAGTTGGTGAGGACTGAACGATGGATGTGATCCACTGGCGTGTGTTTGAAGTGCTTCGTGTTTGACGTGGAGGCTCCGGGGCAGGAATGGAAGACGCGGTCGTTTGCTCTTCAAACTGAGACGCATGTAAACATATTTTCTAAGAGTCGGATTGATCTTCGCGGATATTCAGGGAATCTCTGCCCAGAGTCTGCGTGTCTGAGTGGCGGTGTGGTTCATCAGTGTCGGGGAATGGGTTCAGGTCTGAGCGGTGGTCTGCAGGACAATGGAGGCCGATGGGAGCAGGAAATGGAAAGTTCCTCACAGGCCTGGCTGTTTTCAGGATGGGGGCGGTGAGGCAGGATTTCCTCTCTGAAACAAAACAGGAGCAGTCCTGCTTCTCTGGACCAAAAAAAGCTGCTGTCTATTTCAGGGCAGGGTGGGAAAAGCACCGGAGGATCCTCGGGGACGACACGCACTCGGCGTAATCACAAAGCGCTGGATGTGTGTTTTTATTTGTCTGATGTGAAGGGAAACCAGTGCGGTGGTAATCAGTGTTTGTTTTAGATTCAGGAGAAAGAAACCGTGAATAAAAAGATTTGTCTGTTATTTATAGATGTCAAATGAAATAAAACGATCGTTCATCCTATACCTTTACAATGAAACCCTCTCTTATGTCTGCGTGTTTTATATACTTTACATTTAGCTCTTACACTCTACCAGACTCCATTCACAAAATCTATGATTTTACATCTCATAACACACAAGCTGTTTGTCTGCCTCCTTGAATGATTATGGTTAGTAGTCTTGGACCTGAATGTTTTCACTGTTTGTTTGGGATCTAAACTGACCAATAAAAATGCAAAAGTCACAGAAAGTAAACCAGCAATTTTTTTTTTTTACCTCGAGGTAAAAGATGCTGTTGTCAGTGGACTGTGGACTGCAGTGAGTTAAAGGGTTTTAGTGGGTCAGTCGCAGCAGTTTTGGTCTCTGTAGCTAATTTATCTACCTCATTATAACTGTGGGGTCAGGTTTTTATAACACACCTGATTCAATTGTATTAGGGCTTAAAGTTTACAAAAATAGGGGTGTGGCCTCTTTGACTGACAGGTGAACTTTCCAGATGCTTCATATTTTTCTTCCCTTTTCAGACGTTAATGAGGGGAAACCAGCTTTCCTGTTTATGTGTCACATGATAGCAGGCTCCTGCCTTCAGCAGGAAGTAATCAGATTACTTCAGAGGACGTCTGCTGCCCTGAAAGCTGTGAGCGGAGAGCAGAAGTGGATCACTGTGTCAGAGTGGCTGCAGATTAAAGCCTGAGTTGTGGATGAAAATTGGATTAGTCAATCGTCTGAGCACCAAACGCTGCTGCTGTCTGAGGAGGACGCTCACGCCGCCAAACAACCAATCAGACACCTTGTTTGTAGTTTAAATCAACACCTGAGTGTTTGGGCGATTAAGCCGCTCAAAGTTAACTTGACCTCGAGAACATCAGCCGACTCGCTTCCTGTTTGTCGCTTCACGAGGCTCTAACGTAGATATTTTCAGCTCTGTTTAGCTTCAAACTCGGATTAGAAGTTGACTTCAATGCCTCGGGGTCGGTGTGTTAGCCGCTGTGGCTTTCAGTCACCTGCCGATTAATTTGGAAATAAGTAGTTTATCCATCAGAGGCTTTTATTTTAATATGCTCCTGGAAGAATCATTTGATTGATTTCTCCAAATGAACTTGTGACTTTGTAAAACGTTGGATGGGCCCCTCTGGGTTTTAGCTAATCTGAAGTATGTGTGAATGATGGGAAGGCGGCGTGTGGTGGTGTCACAGACCGCTGTGTTGATCTACCGTGCCACTGCTGTCACAGGCTAAAATCTGGAGCTGCTTCGGCTCCTTTCAGATGATGTTTTTGGAGTGTTTTATGCGGCCTCCTCACATCCAGCCGCTGATCTTGAACTTCCTGTTTTCTGGAAGCGTGCTCCGTCCTCAGACCGTCGAGGGCCAGCCCGCCGGCCTCCAGCTGAGACTCCAGCCTGGATTCCTGAGCTCCGAGTGGCTTTGGTGCTATCAGCTGCTGATTTACAGCTCTCTTTATGGCTGCGAGTTATTTTTAGCTGGAGGCTGCTGCCGCTGCCAGCTCTTCTCCTGGCTTCCTGCAGGACGGAGATGAAAAGTGAACAAAGTGGTGCCTGATGAAGGCACCAGCAACTTTAAGCTGCTGCCCCGGGTCAGTCCTGCAGCCTGTTCTGCTCACTTTGCAGCAGTTTTATGTGTAAACATGTGGGCCTGGAAGATTTCTGCATCACGTCTTGAATGAATGCAGACACATTAATGAAGAATGAGAGAAAGTGAGCAGTCGAGTCTGTCAATGAGGAAAAACGACCGAACTAAGGCTGAGCTGAGTCTGCAGTCAGTGAGAGGTTTCTGTCGCTGAATCTGACAATCGATCACGGATCAATTTGCGCTTCTGATCCACTCTGATTTTGTGCAGAAGTTTTCATAACACTGATTCATTTTAATGCAATAAGACTAAATTATACCAGAACACTCACCAGAGAAGTTTTAATCCACGTCTTCCGTGTCACTGCTGGCTTCCACCTGACTTCCTGTTTGTCTCCTCTCTTCCTGTTTTGTTTCCTTTCTCTGGAGGAGCATAAATGTTTGTAGGACTTCCTGTTTGGCCTTTAAACTCAGGAAATTGGGGAGAAGCATCAGTCCGGTTCAGTCAGAGTGAGCGGTTAGAATCGGGGCTGGTATCTGAATACAGGTGAAATGAGACCTGCCTGAGCCTTGATGTTCTCTTTGCTGCTTGATGGCTTTTGGGCGACTTTTCAGACGAAGCAAAGGACTCAAAGCATGCGTGGCTTCTGAACTGGCGATCCACTCCTGGAAATTGTAATTTAGATTTGTAATGTTGTCTGAGGTATTTATGATGTTTGACGTTAGCGAGCCGGTTTCGGTCTAAAATGTCCCATTCCTTCGATCTTATTGGAAGTTTATCCTGATTCCATCCATAGAAATCTGTCCACAGCTTCTTAAGAGGAGCTTTCATTATTTGTAAGATTTGTTTTTTGCATTTGGCCTTTTTTGGACAGCACAGTGTAGATCGGAAAGCAGGGACAAGTATGAAGGAATGAAACGACCTCGGGTGGACATGATAGCTTTCGTTTGCCTGATCAGTCGGGTGAGCTGTAGCAGCGCCCGTGCTCTCATTTTTAAATTTCTAAAGGAAGTGTTTGTAGTTGTGCGTTTAGCTGCTTAGACTTGGCGTGAACATGTGCTTAAACTGACGTGGAAGAGGAACTGCTCGTCCTGATGTTGACCTCTGGCCTCAGACTCGGTCAGTCGCCGCTGGCTCGAGGAGGACTTGCTTCCCTCTGAGTCCGCTTAACCTCCCCGAGTCTTAACTCTGACCTACATGCAGCGTCGCTTCATTATCCAATCAGGGCTGATATGTGGGTCAGCCAGGGCGGCGTGCCTTTAAAGTCCCAAGAAGAAGAAGGTTGATCTGAGAGTTGGAGAGAGTTTGATCCTTTTTCCTAACTGCATCAGGGCCACGAGGAGCACATGTTTGGATCCTCCAGGAGCTCAGCTCTGTTTTCTGTAACGCAGTCTCACGGCAGTTTGTAACTAGTCAGGGACTCTGAACATGATCGTTCATCCGTCCGCTCTCTGTTTGTACCCATTTACACAAAATGAATATTCTCAGAGGCTGGAGATGTTGGGGTTTTGCTGCTCACAGACCACATTTTGATTCTTAAATGTGTCAGAAGTTTCTATTTATTTTGTATTATTTTGAAAATGTTGGCATTATTAAAATATGTTAGTAATAATCATTAAAACTATTTAGAGCGACTTTTTGGGTTTACATTCTAAAAAGTTAAAACTTCTCCCAAAGCGCCGTTTTCTTGGTACTGCGTGCTCGCCAAAAACTCTGCGCAGGAAATGTACTTCCTGTTACAAAGCCGCACTGACCATCTCATAAAAACAGGTCAATTTGCGTCCACGATCAGGGACGACTTTTATGAGACCAAGCCGACCGGTGGCCTGGTCTGGTCATTGTTGCGGGTCCCACAGACTCCTCCTCCTCCGCGTTGGGCTGCAGTAGATCTACGCGTCGCAGACAGGAATGGTCCTCCTGTTCCTGTGACCTGAACGGTCACTCTGACCAGAACCTGCCATAGGTGGAGAACTGGTTCATGAGCCATGAGGTGAAAACTATCATCACAAGCTTCGTTCCACAACAGTGGAGATGGAGTCCACTTCCAGTCCGGCCACTGGGGGGAGGAGCTTGTTGGAGAGCTGGTTGATATTTGTTTTTTTTACTGTCACAAAGTGTGTGATGATATGTATTCGGGGGTTGTTTACAGCCTGAGATCGCCCTCAGCTTGTATCTTGGCCACGTTTGGCCTGCTGCAGGTGAACCTCCAGCTCCACGTGGAGGACTGAACGCTCTCACATGTAACCTGCAGCCTGAACAACAACGACAACAAACCTCCTCATTTCCATATTATGAAACTCGCGGAGTGAGCTGCGGGGATTTTTCTATCTCGCTTCTGCTGCTTCAAAGCTTCTCTATCAGCGGGGCTTGAATAAAGTGTCCTCAGAGCTCCTCCCTGCTCTCTGGGACTCTGCTCCTGTTTCCTCTCTGGTCACAGAGGCCTCGGGGGGCGGGGGGGACATTCTTCAGTCCTCATGAATATTTAGGGCTCACAACATGTATGGAGGCCTGAGAGCTCAGAAATTGAACCCATTAAACAGAGAATGACTGGCCTGAATGTGGGTAAGAGCTTGACTAAATTACACTCAACTATACCGGTTAAATGTTTCTGTATCAGCGCGTCCAGATTGTGTTCTGGCCTGTGTTTCTTTCATAGATAGTAAACGTACAGATCTTGCCTCCTATTCTTCAGATCATTCTCTGCTGCTACGTGTAGAATGAATGGAAATAGGTATTATAAATATTAGAGGATATCACTGACTGAATGTGGCACTCTGTGGGTTACTTTTCAGCTACCGAAACCCTTTTTCTTTCCATCCACCTACTATTTCCAGCTGCCCACCCTACACCACAGACTACAACCCATCCTGGTCCCTCGCAAAGTGCATAAATCGCCAATGTGGGAAGTATGAAAGGGGGATTTCCCGCCTATTTTGGAGCAAAATTTAGGCTGTTTGCAAACTGCAGCAAGTCTACAGATCTAAATCCATCCATATGATTCATTACGAGAGCTCTGCGTCATCGTCATCGTCGTTGCTGCTGAATAAGAACCAAACCAGGAAACTGATCAGAAAAAGGAGAAGCTGATGCTCGACGCTGTAGTCTTCACAGGGGAAACCACAGTCTGCTGCTTTGCCTTTGCTCAGCCCTGATTGGCTGGCCTCGGTCTTTCTCTGGCTCTTGACTTCCTCCCAGGAAGACGAACGTCAGCCCACAGAAAGCGAGCGAACGGCAGCTCCAGCTCGGCATGCACATGAGGACAACCTGACGAATCCTCATCCGTCCGACCCGCCGGGGTCGTGTGTCCGTGTCACAGCACAGCTGTCGGCGAGCCAGCAGTGACGGCCATTTTGGGGGCCTCCATCTGCTCGTTGCTGCCTGGAGGAAGCTTGCGTGTGCTAGACTATGAGTGGAAGTGACGCCCACCCTTTGATTGGTGAGGGTCTAATCCAGGGGACCTTGTACCACTGGCACTTTTACAGGAGGCCCTGGCGGAGAACCAACACCCCACCAGCTTCTGAGCAGCTATTGGACAAATACAAATGGGAGACGTCTGCTCGCCAGGCGCCGAGGTCGGCCGGTACGTCCACTCCCGAGGGCAAAGCACAAACCATGGAGCCTTCTCACCGGCGACTGCTCAGCCTGCCGAGGTTCGGCACCCTCCCAAACCCGAAAAAACGTAGCGGGGAGCCCGGCGCCCTGCAGAGGATCTTTCTCCGGTCGATGTCCGAGCCCGGCGCCAACAACGACAACAATAGGGAACCGCTCAGGAAGGTAGAATCAGTCGCCGAGAGGAGCACGCCATCCGTCAGCAGCTTCTTCAGCTCGCTGTCTCGAAGGATTGGCAAAGTCCTGAGGGAAGAAGGCGGAGGCAGCGAAGATGAAGGAGGAGAGGACGGTAGGGGTGTCTACGTCATGCTTGTGTCCTTTGTTAAAAAGTTTTCTTTTTAACAGCTTCATTTTCACTTAACATATTAAAAGCACGATGAGATGAAGAGAAGACAGTTGTGTTGCCTCCGGCTCAGAAGGTTTGACGCCAACACAAATAGACACCAGGAACTAGCCTGAATTATTCTCTAAAGGGAATCCCCCAGAATTCTCCACAAGTCTTCCCGGGTGGTTTTCTCTCAAACAGCAGAACTTTCAGAATAAACAGGAACCTCGTTCGGGGGGAAACAGAGTTTTAAATCCTTACCTGAATGTTAAAGAGCAGTCCGTTGGTGTGTTCGCTTCAATGTGCTCAGAGTTGGTTTGTTTTTTGGGATCAAAGTTTTGCATTCTTAGGGGGATGGCCTCTCTCCCTGGCAGGTGGATGGAGACGCAGGCGGGTGTAGCTGCTAGCTGTCCACTAGGCTTCACCACAGCTAGTTGGAGGCCCTGAGCTGGACCTCTGGGCCATGCTTGTGCTTTTGGAGCCTTTCAGAGCTTTTTTAATGACATCATCTGACCAGTTATGTGGCTGCTGTGAGGTTACTGCACTTAGACCGTCACTAAGGTCTGCAGGGTTCTACGATTTTATTTGGGCATTAATTAGCATTAATTAGCAGGTATCTGTGATGCACCACATCCAACACATTCAGCATAATTTGTTTGTTTGTCTGTTTTCTTTTTCTTGAACGTTGTAATGTCGCTCTGGCCGTGAAAATCTCAGCGGTCAAATTAAATTAAGAGCAGTTCGATTTAGCTGGATCACGCAGGTCTATAAAAAGCATTAGCATCATTTGTGTGAATAAGGTAGAGCGAAACATTAAAATGCAGTTCAACCAGTCTGTGTTATCAATAAGGTATAATTACCTCCTCATTTACTTCCACTAGATCACTGCCTCAGAAACTGACCTGAACTATTATTATGACGATGATACAAAAATTCCCACATGGTGAAGTTAAAGCAGAGTGATGTTTCTCTCCTGTGGCCCCTGCAGCTTCATTCTACTCTGAGGGAGGAAAACCTCGGCTGTCCTTTGTGCTCTCAGAGAGGTTTCCTCCTCCTCCTCCTCCTCCTGCTCCTGATTGAAGGCTGGAATCTGTCTGCAGCTGCTTCACCAAACATTTACATTCATGCAGAGTGTGTAAAGCTCAGACAGGCAGCCAGTCTGAAGGTTAAGTCATGCTAATTGCAGTTTCCACTACAACCTCACGTGAGGAAACATTTAGAGCCTGCAGATAATAAATGTGTGTTTTCATGCAGAACTCGCTGCTGCATCAAGTCCCATTAGCTCTCCAACACAGCTCCTCTGAATATGAATAATTGTCTGAATTAATTATTTCTTTGGCTGATATCAGAGCCACGGAGATCTTTGAATGACAAAGTCTGTAGAAATTCAGAAAACACAATAAAATACCCATGTATGTACGCAGAAGAAGCTTTTGAACATGAGGGAAAAAACAGACCCGATTCTGAAATCAGTTTTATGCAATCAGAAACGAGTCATTGCAAAAATCCATCTCAGTCCAAATTCAAGATTTAAACCAGCCAAGTGTGAAGCAGTCCTGGAGTCCAGTTTGTTCGGGCCTGAATTATAAATAATTTCAGGGCGAATGAAACCAGGAAGTGATGAAAGTCGTGCTAACCTGTGCACAGGTGCACCGAGCAGAACCGGGTCTGCTTTATCCTTCGTCTCCTTACTGCTGTGCAGGTTTGGATCTTTGGCAGCGTGCCGGATCTCCTCACCTCGCCGGCTCTTGTTTACCATCAGAGCTCAGGCTGTCCTTTTAAATCAGATGCTGCACGTTTCACAGACTGCACATGCAGAGTAAATATTTCATGCTCAGGCGCATGAGGGACTGAAACGCTGCTCAAAACACGTGATGTAAAAAACACAAAGCAGCTGATCTGAGTTCACCGTGAGCTTAAAGACATGCACATACATGTTCCTGTGAGCTTACTGATAAAAGGATTCAGGGTTGGGACCTTCTCATAGTATCGATGTGTGAACTCGAATATTTTCTGACTCCAGAGGTTCCTTATCACAGATTTTATTCCACCTCCTGTCTCTGACCTCTGACCTCTCTCTCACTGAAAGCTTGTGTTATGAGGGAAATGGGATCTGTTGTGGTACACCGTTCTGGTGACCGTGTCAGATTAACGTGTGCCTTTGGGCATCGTGTCTCTGCTTCGCCAGAGTCCGACCTGTTTGATAGACGCATATATTTCTGTCGTCATCCATCATCCTGAAACGGAGATGATGCGTGTTATCTGTGAGCTCCCAGCGTCCCTGGCATGCCACGTTCATCGGAGCGTTCAGCCTCGCCGGAAATTTGAACACAGCATCGAGGAGGAGGAGGAGGAGGAGGAGGAGGAGAGCTGATCAGGGATGTAGAAAAAGATTTAATTTAATCTGTCTGAGCTGGTGGTTTATGGGAAACTGGTGTGAGAGCAGAGTCAGAAACAGAAGCTGCTGATGTGCTGGGAGCACTGGTGGGAGCTCAGAAGCTTCACACATCTCAGCCTGCAGAGGCCTCATTTGCTTTACTTCTAAACCTGCTTCAAATTATTAACTCAAGTTCCCATAATGCTTTGGGGAATGTAGAACTGTAGCATGAACTAGGTATCAGAAGTTCCTGCTTGTGGTTTTACCCACAGATGTACAGAAAACTGTCAGATTTTTACCTCAGTACTGACGAAAACTTAACAACAATTCTCTCTGAACTCTTTCTAATCAGGTCCTGACCAGCTTTAAAACCAGTCCTAACCTGGTTACAGACATGAGGCTCAAAGCAACCTTAGAGTGCTCCTAAAATCAGTCCAATACTATGCCCAGAAACTGGTCTGCAATAAGTTTAAAACCAGTTCTAAACTAAACTGAAATCAAGTGTGGAACTAGTTTTAAAGCAGACCCCACAGCCTGGGTTTGGGCTTAGGTTTCTTTACTCATCACCTGCTCCATCCCAGTCTCAAATCTACCGTAAAACGTTTCTAAAAAGTCCAAAACATTTAAGCCCGTAAGTGGTTTAAAACCAGTCTTAACTCAATCCCAAAATCAAGTTTGAATCCAGTTTCAAAGCAGTGCTAAATTAGACCTAAAACAAGCCCAAGCTACAGTCCAAATTCAGTTTCAGAGCAGGTTTTAAACCAGTCTTGATTCAAACTGGGAACCAGTGTAAAATCAGTCATGAACGAGTTTTAAAACTTGGCCTAAAATCAGTTTTAAAATCCGGTCTGAGCCGGTCCCACATGCGGTTGTGATGAGTGGTAATCTGACCCTGGCTCAAAACTTCAGTTCACCAGATATACTCTTCAGGGTCGCCGTGCCCTAGAGCCCGTCACAGGGCGAGAGGCGGGGCACACCTGCACAGGTCAGCAGCCTGGTGCAGGCTGTTCTTCCTTTTACTTTCAGTCTCGTGTCAAACTATAAACTACAGCTCCTACAATGCTCGGGAGGCTGTAGAAAAGTGTGCGTATTAGTTCCTGCTGTGGTTCACCCACAGATGTACAGCCAGCTCGGTGTATTTCTTAAAAACATGTGAACGCTCGGGCAGGTTCAGCACGCAGAGCTTCTGGTTTCTACACCGTCGTGTGGTCGCTCAGAGCGGCGATGCCCCACCAGCCGTGCCAGCAGGGTTAGTCAACACGACATGACTGCAAACAAGAAACTAACCCAGGTCTTTATTGTGAAAACTTTTTCCCTCTACTTTATGATCTGTCAGTTTGTTCTGCCTGAGACTTTGAAGTAGTGAAACCCAAACAGACCAGAGTCTGTGAGAAAATTCAGCATTTTAACAAAAATAAATAAAGATCGGCTTTCCTCTGCTTTCTGTTGCTTAACTTTAATCTGCAGAAAGCCTCAAGTCACTGTTTGATTCTGCTGTGACTCAGCAGTAATGAAGAGCACACAGAGCCGTACAGCGTGGAGCACAGTGAAGTATTTGTACACAGTTTCAGGACTGCAGTAAATGTGTCTGCGTGAACAGAAGCGGCTGTAAACAGACACAGTGTGAAAGTTTCCAGCATGCCCAGAGCATGCTGGGTAATCAAAACCACAGAGCTCTCACTTCTGTAAACACACACACACACACACACACACACACACACACACACACACACACACACACACACACACACACACACACACACACACACACACAGAGAAAAGAGCCTGATTCACCCTCCCAGTTCTCACACTCAGTTTCCATGTGAAAATGAACAGCTACTGCTAAGTGGGGTCTAATTAATCCAACTGTGTGTGTGTGTGTGTGTGTGTGTGGGGGGCTGAGGCAGGATATGTGTGGTGGTGTTCTGGCTCACGGCGTCCTACAGAAACCCAGTTAATCAGCCGTGTGTGTGTGTGTTTGAGGCCAGAGGCCAGGACAGCTCCTGCATACTCAGTGTGTGTGTGTGTGTGTGTGTGTGTGTGTGCGTGTGTGTGTGGCTTCAGAGCCAGCTCAGCTCGTCCTCATTCCCAGAGATTAAATGAAGCAGTCTTATTGGGTCTGCTGCACCTAACTCTCCGTTTTTCAACCCTAACCCGGTGTTTTTATGCCTAACACTGTTTGGACCTCGTGCACGTGAGCACAGACTGTAGCGCCACAGACTCTTTATCAGTCTTTCAGCTCAGTCTCTTACCAAACGTTATCTAACATAACCAGTACATCAAGGCATGATACAGAAAAGTGTGATGAGGCAGAGTCAACGCTGGTCAGGTTCAGGGAGGAGGTTTGTGATCATGTGACCCTGTGTGGACAGGAAGTTCAGACAGCACTTCCATCCTTAAAGCTAAACTGAAGGTCCAACTGATGCGTTATGTAAGTGAAGGTCCTCACACTGACAGAACAACACGTGTGTGTGTGTGTGTCTTCCTTTTGTATGTAAATTGGCCCTCCACAATAAAAGCTTCTGGGTAACAAAAGCAGCCCTGAGCTCATTAACCTTTCAGTGCTCCGAATAGCGGCGGTGGGAACGTGGAGGCTCCCACATGAATGCGTCTGAAAACAGGTTGTTTTGTGTTGCATCCAGAACCGTCCAGACTGGACTGTGTGACGGCGCCGTCCTGCTCCGGGTCCACAGGCGTTTGGCAGGATAAACCCTTTTTAAGGGGAAAGCTTTTTTTTCCTTTTTTTTTTTTTTTTTAACCAGACGGCTGAATATTCAGTTCAATTTTATTTATATAGCGCCAAATCACAACAACAGTCACCTCAAGGCGCTTTATATTGTACAGTAGATACAGAGAAAAGCCCAACAATCACGTGACCCCCTATGAGCAGCACTTTGGCGACAGTGGGAAGGAAAAACTCCCTTTTAACAGGAAGAAACCTCCAACAGAACCAGGCTCAGGGAGGGGCGGGGCCATCTGCTGTGATTGGTTGGGGTGAGAGAAGGAAGACAGGATAAAGACATGCTGTGGAAGAGAGACAGAGGTTAATAACAGATATGATTCAATGCAGAGAGGTCTGTTAACACATAGTGAGTGAGAAAGGTGACTGGAAAGGAAAAACTCAATGCATCATGGGAATCCCCCGGCAGCCTACGTCTATTGCAGCATAACTAAGGGAGGATTCAGGGTCACCTGGTCCAGCCCTAACTATATGCTTTAGCAAAAAGGAAAGTTTGAAGCCTAATCTTGAAAGTAGAGATAGTGTCTGTCTCCTGAATCCAAACTGGAAGCTGGTTCCACAGAAGAGGGGCCTGAAAACTGAAGGCTCTGCCTCCCATTCTACTTTTAAATACTCTAGGAACAACAAGTAGGCCTGCAGAGCGAGAGCGAAGTGCTCTAATAGGGTGATATGGTACTACAAGGTCATTAAGATAAGATGGGGCCTGATTATTTAAGACCTTGTATGTGAGGAGCAGGATTTTGAATTCTGGATTTAACAGGAAGCCAAAACAGGAGAAATCTGCTCTCTCTTTCTAGTCCCTGTCAGGACTCTTGCTGCAGCATTTTGGATTAGCTGAAGGCTTTTCAGGGAGTTTTTAGGACTTCCTGATAATAATGAATTACAGTCGTCCAGCCTGGAAGTAATAAATGCATGAACTAGTTTTTCAGCGTCACTCTGAGACAGGATATTTCTAACTTTAGAGATGTTGCACAAATGGAAGAAAGCAGTCTTACATATTTGTTTAATATGTGCGTTGAAGGACATGTCCTGGTCAAAAATGACTCCAAGGTTCCTCACAGCGTTACTGGAGGCCAAGGTAATGCCATCCAGAGTAAGAATCTGGTTAGATACCATATTTCTAAGATTTTCAGGGCCGAGTACAATAACCTCAGTTTGATCTGAATCAAGAAGCAGAAAGTTAGCGGCCATCCAATATCAAAGCAAATGTGATTTTTAGGATCAGAGACTGGAAAATATTGATGGATTATTCTTTTCTGTTCTCACATCTGTGTCTCGTACTGTGAGCAGTCCTCCTCCTGTCGAGGTCTGCAGGACCTCCTTTGAGGATTATCGATCTCTGATCTGCTGTTCACTCGTTTGCGAGGCCGATACCTGTGATGGACTCGTGCCCGGGCTTTTCTTCATCAGAGCGAGTATTTGACACTTTACTGAAACGTTAGCTGTGAGCTGAACTGACCAGCGACTGAGTTTGAGTGTTTACGGAGGTGTCAGAGGGTGCGCTTGATTTATAAGACAGGAAATTAAAAAAATCTTTGTGGTGAAAAGTGATTTTTTATTTTTAATAATTTGTTTTCTGCTGGAAACTAAAATTGCGACTGAAATCAAAATCCAGCTAATCTGGCTCTTAGTGGACACCGAACAGTTGAATGAGGTCAGGATACTTTCCACTCCTCCCACAGGACATGTGACAGCTGCGCTCATCGGCATCTTGTGACATCACAAGAACCGGTGGGTTAAACAAAGCCGTCGTACCGGACGTTTCCACGTGTGCTGCGGCGCCTGTGTGAACACAGCAAACCTCCTTCAGTCCTTCGGGAGCTCTTCTGCTGCTCCCTCGGGTGATGGGAAGCGACATTGCCGCTCACCTTTGACCCCTTCGGACCGCCCCCCTCTGTGCAGGCTGCCGCCATGATTGACAGCAGAGAGAGAGAATCTGCTTTGCAGATGCAAATGCAGCAGAGTACAGCTGAAGTCAGCACGTTTAAATATTAAACCAGCCGCCTTCACTTCAGGCTGAGCATCAAAGAGCCGCCGTCGCCGCTGCCAGGACGCGTCGAGTACAAGCGATAACAAAAAAACATCGATTAATGATTGATTGGAGACTCAGACTATTTATTCATTATCAGAGCAGCAACAGGAACAGTGTGAGGGGCCAGCAGGCTGGAGCTTCACACATAATGAGATGTGAGAGAATCAGATTTAGCTGATTTCATTTTCCACAAACCAATAAAATAAAATGAACTCGACACGATTGAGCAGGAAAACTGCAGCTTTCCCTGATCAGCAGAGCAGAACTTCACCGTGTCCCTCGAGCGGAGTGGGTGGGGGAGGTTGGGGGTTGGTACGTGTGTTTAGGTGGCATCCACACGAGTAACTGGACCCAAAGTTTCCCAGCAGAAAGCTTCACTTTAACCAGGCGATCAGTGTTTTCAGCCAGCGATGTGGCTGGTTGGTGGGCCTCGGTCGGCCTGTTTGGACTGTGCTCGCTGCTCTCGCGCGGCTGTTTTTGCAGGTTTAAATGCAGCGAGGAGCTGCAGCACAGTTCAGTTTCTGCTGAAGTAAAATGTCATAAAAATGACCTCCAGACCGTCCCTGTATGCGGCGTGAGGAGCTGTTAGCAGACTCGTGTTGACGTTTCTGTGCTGCTGAGCTGAGTGCTGTCTGCGTCCTCTCCAGAGAGCAGCGCTGACATCAGGAGGACCTGCAGCAGAGCGAGCTTCGGCTCATCCGGCACATTTTTACAGCTTGAACTCACAACACAGCGCAGCGGCTTCATGTCCCGTCCCTGGAAGTGTTAGTGTACAGATCCTGTAGTAAATTCCCCAAAATGAGCGCACTGATATTTCTAACAGCCCTTTGTTTTATTACGTCAGTCTCACGGCAGCTCTTACAGCCATAAACTATCAAGTGAACCTTTAATTTTACACAACGTCCATGTACACGAAGTAAAGTTGTTAAATTAGGAAGGTTTCCCACGTGAAAGTACTACAGTTACTCTCAGTACTCTGCTGATCCTCAGCTCATAGCGCCACCATCAGGCCAGAGTTTAAATTTGTCACCTTGTTTATATTGACATTTATTACTCCAGCTCTGTCTGTGATTGGTTAGGTGTGGAAACACCATCGCCACCTAGTGTCCAGGAGGTGTCATGATATATTTACATAAATCCGAGTTTTGGAAACTTTCATTTTCAAAGATACTTCAGTTTGTCCACACATCGATCATGAAAACACGTTTATTTCTCACACTTGCAGCTTTAACGTCTCCCCGCAGACGTCCACAACCTTGACGGTTTTTTCCTCCTCCCGCCTGGACGGAGGGCAGCTTTATAAAAACGCTGTTTCTCTGTCCAGGCTGCTAATTGCTGTAATTTCCTCCCTCGGACAAAAGCTCCCCTGCAGCCTGTTTAACACCTCAGAGCTGCCGATGGCTCCTCTGGGTTTAACGGCTGAACAGCTGCCTGCAGAGAAATACCAAAGCACGGTTTCCAACTGTGCGCCACAAGCAGACAAACGCTGCTATCTGCAGGTTGGCTAATGAGAGATACTGCGATGCCGTGTGTGGATCGGCTGTCGCTCGGCTCAGAGTCGTTATGGTCTTCTGTCAGAAGAGGACTGCGGCGGTTATGCTTGTCATGTTGGGATGTGCACAGCTAGTTGACCGCATGGTTCAACCTCACTGGTCACAGGTCGGTGTCCTCCATGTGCCGATCCCAAGCTCGGATAAATGGGAGCTTCTGGAGTAAATGTGTGCCGAATCAAACGCACGGCTCCATCTGCTGGAGCGATTCCTCAGGAAGGGGAGGAGCTGGCCGTACCTTTTTTAAATTATCTTCACTTTAATTTTATCGACTTCCAGCAACACGTTTAATCTCCTCTTCCCATCAGCACGCCAAAAATAAATTCTGCTCTTATTCCTGTGAATTTTCTGCTTTGCTTTCTTCGTCTTATCCGATCACGTGATCAGTTTTCACCAGGATCTCTGCACTCCCGTGAAGAACTCCACCCTCACTGTTTCCATAGGACTTAGGAGGGTCAGCCAGGTGCTCGTGATCAAACACATTGACTGATCTCTGCTATAAGAGCAGAGCATCTGTCAGTGTGCAGCCCTGGAGCCTTCTGGTGGGATACAATCTTCACAGCTTAGCTTTGCAAAGCTGATCGAACCACACGGCTTCAGGAAACGTGACAGATGAGACCAAAGTGCAGACGTTCGTCCATAACACACAAAACCAGCATGTCAAAGACCTCAGACCAACTCTAAGCACAGTGGTGGAGGGATGATGGTTTGTTTTTCTGAGTTGACCATGAACAATGATCTGATCCAAGCTGCTGCAATCAGACCTCGGCCTGACTTTAATGCTGTGAAGCTTCAGAGAGCTGTGCATAAACAAATACCTGCAAACCTCAATGAACTGAAGCAGCGCTGTAATGAAGAGTGGGCCAACTCCCTCCACAGTGATGCGAGAGGCTGATAACGCCACACAGAGTGCTGCTGCTGAAGGAGGCGCCACACGGGGGGAGCTCAGGTCTGCACAGGGTAAACCCCTCTGACTGCATGTCCAACAAATCTTCCCATCAAGCCTGAACAGCTGCTGGAGCAGCAAATATTTTATCATCATGCAAATATAACAAATATTCTCTTGTTTACTTCTCCATCACTGGTTTGTGCTGCTTCCCTGATGTAAGGAGGACGCATGTTCTCCCTCCATAATCACGTTTTGCAGAACTGCGGCAAAGCTGCACAGAGTTGATTATATGTGTGTCACATCAACATCGGGGCAAGCACAGGTCTCTCAGAACATTTGTAATCTGAAGAGTTCCGTGTCTTCGTTAAGTGATATATTCGATTACCTTTATTTAAGTCAGGAAACAGTTGAATTAAGTTTGTGCAACATCTGAGGAGGAGTTGAACCTTTAGGTGTCAAAGTGCAGCCTTTCACCTCTGACCTCCACGTCTGATCAGAACAGGAAGTGTGTGCTGGTATTGATCTGTGTGCGTTATCTGCAGCCTGGGTCAGTCTCGGTGACACACCCCTCTCTGTTCTCTTTTTGGTTTCACCTCCTGACTTCCTGTTGGACCGTCCCATCTTGATAAAGCAGCAGTGTGATGTCACCGCAGTATGATTGGAGGAAAGCGTCCGTGTTTACCGGCTGCTATAGCAACTGGGCCTGCCTGCTGCTACAGGTTGACAGACAAAGCGGCCTGTGTGTGTGTGTGTGTGTGTGTGTGTGTGTGTCTCTGTGTGTGTGTGTGTGTCTCTGTGTGTGTGTGTGTCTCTGTGTGTGTGTGGTCCAGGGTGTGATCTTCCTGGTTCACCTCCCGACCGGAGGAAGGGGAGGAGCTCCTCGCATCACTGAAACAAACAAAAATGTTTGTTAAACTTCTGAGCTCCCCCTGTGTCTGCTCGGATTCTGTTTGTAATAATAATAAATAAATAATAAAACGTGACGGATCCACTGAACCTCTTTCTGTTTCAGCAGAACTCGTCGTTCTAATGTCACTTCCTGTTCTGTGTTATTTTCGTGAATAAACGGACGAATGAAAACAAAGACGTGCACGAGGTCGTACCTCTGTTGGCCTTGCTCGGGTAGATCTTGGTGAAGTGTCTGTACTCGTCCGGAGGAGGGAAGTCGTCCAGAGGATGGAACGAGTACTTGGACTCAAAATCATCTGCGGGAGGACGACACAGAGTCAGGACACGGAAACAGCTCAGAGTGATACAAACAGCTGCGTGTGCGTTTACACGGCTTTACAAATAAAAGGAGAAGAGGGGAGAGACAGGAGGAGGACACAGCAGCGAGGAGACGAATTCAGCTCTAATCAGATCATCAGAGGAAATCAGCAGCAGCTTCATCGACCGCCTGCTGGAGACGGACTCACCCGCAAACGAGCGAGGGACGGAGGAGGAGTGCCCGTTTCGGAGAGGAGGGGGAGGCGGGGGAGGAGCGGCTGGGG